GCGTACGTTACAGGGCGGATGCGTTCTCTGTGGCAGTCCAGGAGGAACATGTGCAAGGGTCAGGGCCGCAGCAGCCGCATTGCGCGGAGGTATTCTGTGAGCATCTCGTCGCGGGGTCTCGCGATTGGCCAGCCTGTGCAGCGCTCGCCGACTGGGGAGAGGCTGCCGCTGCCGCCGCCGCTGCATCTATCGCACCGCGCACGTGGAAGCCGCCGGACGCAGACGAGGCTCTGTCGCCCGCGGGCGAATTCGACCCTCGATCCTCGGTCCACCTGCCCTACCACTGCTGCTGATGCTGCTGCTTCTCCCCCTCCTCCTCCTCTTCCCCCACCCATCCTTGCTCTTCGCGCCCTCCGCCCCCTTCCCCCTCCCTCCCCCGCTCCTCTCTCCCTCCTCGCCTTCCTGCCCCTCCCCCCATGGCTGGCTGCAGCAGGGGGGAGGGAAGGGGAGCTTCCCACCAGTTTCGAGATCGGCAGGGCAGTTCCGTTCGCGAAATTGGGCGCCCTGGCCCGGGCGGCCGAACGACCCCTGCAGCGGGGCGCCCTGGCAACGCAATCGCCGCCGCAAAAACTGCTTGTTAACGCTGGCGGCGCGCAAATGCGGCGCCGAACAGCACGCGCAGCGCGCGCGCCAAAGCGCCCCCGTGCGTCATCCCGCCGACGACGATGGTGAATCCGGCGACGACGACCCCGGCGAGTTCGATTCGGACTCCTCCGTCGGAGATCGAGGATAGAGGGGGGGGATCGCAGACTGGAGGTTGGTCGAGGGTAAGGGAGGCCGAGGACCGAAGGACCTTCGAGGGTCTATCGGCATTAAAAACAGAGGGATCGAGGGAGGATTGGATCGGGCAGGATCAAGAGTGGAGGATCGAGGATCGAGGGGGGTCGTCCTCCGTCTTCCTTCTTCCTTCTTCTCGTCTTGGCGCTCGTCTCGGTTCCTTTTCTTTTTCCTTAATGATCGCGCTTCTTTTGCCCCAGCTCTTGGTCCTCCTTCTTCCCCCCTCCCCCTCGTCTTGTCCTCCTCTTCTTTTCTCCAGCCTGCCCCGGTCGACAGGCTGTTTCCGATCGGCTGACCTTATAGGGCGCCCGGCCGCGCGCTGCCCCCATTGCTCGCGCCCAAGAGCTCTTTTGCGAAGTGGCGCAGTTGCCATTGGGCCCTGGCCCCAGTTGGCCAGCGGGCATTAATTTGCCTTTTGCGAGGTGGCACAGTTCCCAGCGGGCCCCAGCTGGCCAGCGGGCACTAATTAGCCCTTTGCGAGTGGCGCAATTGCCAATGGGCCCCAATTGGCCGACGGGCACTAATTAGCCCTTTTGCGAACGGCACGGTTGCCAGTGGGCCCTAGGTGGCCCCGCTGGTCGCTCTTTACGCGTGCGCTCGGCACGAGCGTTGCACCATTACCCGACAGGCGAGCTGCGCCCGCACGCTCCGCGGACCCCCCGAACGCTCGGCACCCGCCCTGGCGGGAGCATCGGGCACCAAGAAGGCGCGACGTCCCCCGCGCAAGACGAAGCCGGCGAAGCCGCCATTACTCGGCGGAGAAATGTGAATTGATTTCGAGCTAGCAAAATCGACGAGGTGAGCTCGTTGAGGTCGTCCATGTAGAAATCATCTTCACCTGGGGGGATGGAGCGGGGAAGGAACCTGCGCGCGAAGGAGAGGGCAGCGAGCGAGGACGGCGGCGCGCGCGGAAGAAGGAGCGGAGGGGGAAATCGGAACCTGCACGGAAGGGAGGCGCGGCGCGGCGACCGCCGGCGAAAGCGCGCGCGCGCGGAGCAAGCAGTCGGAGGCGCGCGACGGACCGCCGGCGCGCGCGCGCGAAGCAAGCAGGCGGCGGAGAAAACGCCGCACCCCCAGCTGCCAGCGCCGATGGCTGGCAGCAAGGAAAGGAACCTGCGCGGCGCGCGCGCCGCGCGCGCGCAGAGCCGCCGCGACGCGGGATCCCAGCGGCGGCCAAGCGAACAAACAGCCAGCGCTGGCAGCGCCGCGCGGCGCGGCGCGCGGCCCCCCCCCTCGCAGGCCGCTCCTGCGCGGCGTCGCGCTCGTCGGCGGACATGGCCGCCGACGCCCCGCGCTCCCGTTCGCTATCGCGCGCGCGCGTTTGTGCCTGCCAAGCAAACGAGTTTGTGGGCCTACAACATCGCAGTCGCGAGAGATGCGGCGAGGAAGGCGACGCGCGGATACCCAATGACCAATTTACTCGGGCGCTGTAGGCTGCAACGCATGCGCTGCTCCTGGATGCCTGCGACAGCTCGCCCGCCGCGCGCCGCCGCCTGCCCCTCGACGCCTAGCGCGAGGGGGGCTGATGGAGAAGGGGGGGCATCGGCGACGCATCGCCGATGAGCCCCCGACTGCAGAAGCTTATGACACCGTGCCCGCTGGGGCGCGCACGCCGATCAGGGGGCGATGCTTCCCCTTCCCTGTCGGCGCCCATGATGGCGCGGCATCGCGCAGGGTGGGCGGCGTCGCGAGGCTTGCCAGGTAAGTGTCTTGCGCTCCGCGGGTGCGATCGAATGCCCGGACGCCCAACATCGCCCGCCTCGACGCGCAGGTATACTCGCGACCATCTCAGGCAGCGGGCTGCAGGGCCGCTTGGATAACCCATCCAGCTACGCTGGCGACAAACAAACGCCAAGGCCCAAGCGGGCGGCAGCTCTGGGGGAGATGCTGCCGACTCCGCTCGCGACGAAGGGCCGGCGACGGCGCGGCGCGCCTTGCCTAGGGGGGAAGGGCAGGGCGGGCATCCGCACTTCAACCCCTCGACGTCGCAGCGGGCCCAAGGGGGGTAGACCCCCCCCCCTCTCTAGAAAACGCGAGAAGGCATTTGTGCCAAAGTGGCGCAGCGAGTGGACTCGCTCATCGCCTTGGGGGGGGTCGATAATGGCATTCTCCAAAGACCACCGCTCGCCCTGCGCGCGGCGCCCCCCCGCCCGCGGCCACCGAGCGGCGCCCAGCTGACCCGCGGGCGAGGGAAGGGCAATCTCGCAGAAGCCGGCGCGGCCCATATACTTTGTCAGGGCATCCGTCCGTTCTCTGGCGCGCTCGAAGGATCGCCGCGTCCGCGGCCGCGCGCCAGTCCTTGGGCGGCCCGGCGCTCGCGCCGCGCAGGTGGTCGCGCAAGCGCTCGCTGTCTTCGCCAAGGGCCGTCGAGGAGCTGCGGGAGGCCGCGACCGGGGCCGCCCTGTCCCTCGGACCAGGCGTCGCCAGCTGGGCGCCGCATCTCCTTCCAAACCTTCGCTCGGCACGTGCGCGCGCTCCCCCGGCCGGCCCCGATCCTCGACCCAACTCTACTCCGCTCTGCTATTGTTCACTCGACTCTGCTCTCTTTTACCCAAGTCTACCATGCGCTCAACCCTGCATTGTACGGCTCTTCTTAACGCTGCCCTACACCACCAGCTCTACTCTACTCTAACTCCACTCTTTTGTCCCTCACTCGGCCACCTGGCCGGCCCATCGCAACCATGCCCGTGGAGGGAGGGCATCGTACTGGCCGAAGCTGCGCTGCGCGCGGGCGCATGCGGGCCGCCCTCGCTGCCCCGAGCCACGCGGCCCCGCGCCCAGGGCTCGCGCTCGCGGAGCGCCTCGCGCGCGCATGGCAGCGCGCGGCCCCGCGAGCAGGGCTCGCGCGCGCACGGGGCGACGGCGCGCGCTCCCCCGTGCGCGGCCCCGCGAGCAGAGCTCGAGCGCGCGGGGCCTGGGCGCGCGGCGCGCGCGCTTTCGCCGCTCGCCTTTCTGCTTGCATCGCGGCGCGCCTCGGGGTCGCGCGGGGCGCAGGTGTCGTCGCTGGCGCCCTGCAGGCATCGGCGCTTGCGCCCTGCCGTCGCGGACGGCGCGCGCGCTTTCGCCCCGCCCCCCCGCTGTCGGGGGCACTTGCATCCCTGGCGCCCCGCGCGCAGGCTCAGACTGGCGCCGCCAGGCTGGGCGGCGTAGGGGGGGCCGCGCTCATTTGTCAAAAAAGCGCGGGCACCCTCGGGTGCGACTGCGGCAGCGGGGCCGCGCGAGCGGGAGAAATATTGACCTCGCCCGCGAGGGCCGCGCAATTGGCGAATGCAGATGGCAGCGCGGCGTGAGCGCAGCGCATGCCTCATCCTCGCCGCGCCCATTTCTACTCTACTCTGTTTTACCCGACCCCATACCATCGACTTTTCTCTACCATACTGCACTCTACTGTACCTTACCTTACCCCATCCTACCCGACTGTGCCCCATTATCCGATCCTCCCCTCCCCTTCTGTACTATTCCGCGCCACTCACTCATCCACGCTTCTCTGCTCGACTCTCCTCATGACAGGGGATCTGTCGACCCCTGCCCCAAGCTTCGGCACGCTTTCGACTGGGCAAACAATGGCGAGGGCCGAGCCTGGGATTCACTGTGGGGGGCGTCCACCCTGGATAGTGGTGCGTCCGAACAGCTCCCTGCTCGCTTTTTCGTCGAAAACTACAGAAACAGGAGAAAAAACTGAAGGGCTCCCGCGCGCACGCGATTGCGCGCGCTATTTCGTCCCTGGGCACGGTGCTCCGCGGGCGACAACCAACTTCGCGCGCTCCAAGCACGCAGTCTTTCTGCGTGCAACCCACCTGGCGCCGGGCCCACCTCGCAGTGATTTCTGCGCTGGCAGAACAGAAAAAACGCGCAGAGCTCATGAAACGATCGTTCACGAAGCGATCGCTGGGTCCCCGTGGATCATGCAAGATCTCGTCCCTGCCGCCGAGTCGGCTCGGACGTCGCCCAAGCGCGCCGTCGCCCGAGGCCGACGCTGCAATCGGGCAACCCGCTTTCACTGATTCCCAAATCTGAACGGATCCCGACAGCGTCTTGGCATACACATTATACTGCCCAGTTCGCACCACTCGCGCTGGCGCGCGCCCATGCGGCGTCGCGCAGAGACGGCCGGCACCGGGAACGCACAGACTGCGCAGCAGCCGACGCGATCGCGGACGAGGCGACGCCGCGGCTATTTCGACGCGCCTGGCGCAATATTCTGCAGCGCGCAAATGGCTTGCCCTCTGACGAAAATGCCTGCACGCCGCCAACTCTTGCCCCCAGCCCGCAGCCGATGCGCCGCGCGGTCCACGCCCCCGCCACTGCCCAGCACATCCGCACAATGAACTGATTAATGACCCCATCACGTGCGCCTGTGCGCGCTGCGCGCAAGGGCGACGGACGCGCCGGCGAGCGCAGATGGGCGAGCGGGCAAGAGGGCAGGGCGGACGGCAGGGGAGCTCTGTCTCGGAGGCGTCGCCGCTGCGTTCACGCCCTCGTAAGTCGCCTGCGCAGCGACGCGCGAGTTTCCTCGCGGCGAGGCTTGCGTGCAGGGGCGAGGGCGCCTGCAAAGCCTCGCGACCATAATTGCACCTCCGCTGCGGGGCGCTGGAACGTGCGCCGATCGCCAGGCCGGCCGGGGAAGGGACATGCGCGGCACCTGTTCGCCATTGCTTCTTTCAGGCGACACCTGGCCGGGGTGGCGCACGCCGTATCTGCGACGAAGATTCGCCGCGCCGCGAGCGGCGCGGAAACATGAACCGCGCACGCGCAGCCGACCGCTTCCAGGCGACGGGCTCGAGCCAGACGCGCGGCGGCTCGCTGCCAACTTCAGCCCTGCATGCTGAGTGGCGCGCCGCGCCTGCGCTTCGGGGCGTAGCCGCAGCCCCGCGTCGCTCCGAAGCGCCCGACAACTGCTGGCCGCCTGGAGAAGCGACTGCGTGGCCAAAGCAACCAGCGCGTCATTGACGTCTACTGCAGTCGGCGCGACGGCCTGCAGCCGCCGCGGCGGGCGCGCCAGGACTGCGCGAGCACGCGTTGGTGGACCGGGCTGGCGCCCGCCAGTGCTTCGAACGCCTCGAAGCACTCGGATCGGCAGGCAGTGCGCCCTCGAGGCCTTCTTTGAAGCCGTCTTAACTCCTGCGCGCAAGCCCCGCCGCATGATTTCTGAAACGCATCTTCGGCCTGACCACGACGCGACTACCGGGCGCGCCCCCTCGCGGCGCGCGCCCCGCTTGCCCGCGCCGCTTCTCGCGTCGCGATCACCGCTGCAGCGCGCGCTAACGGCGACGGCGCGGGTGGACCTGCCAGTCGCTTTGCGGCGTCGGTGGCACTGCAGCGAAACCTGCAAGCAACGCAGACGCCAATGCGAGAACCCACTGCGAACCCATGGCCCGCCGCGAACCGAGCGGCAGCCCCGCGCGCAGGATGGGCGCCGTCTGCGCCGCGGCGGCACTGGAAGGCGCAGTCGCGAGAGCCGCGCGGAGCACAACCATGAGCGGCGAGACGCGGTCAGCATGCGAAGCATGGGTCGCAGCCAGCCGCGGCTGCGGCTGGCCAAGATTGCCATCGCAATCGAACCAAATCGTTTCTCAAATCGTCAAGGCTGATTCGCGGCGAAACGGCAGCGCGGCACTGACTCGCGCGGTTGGCGTTCGCGCTATCGGAGGAAATCTGCCCGGAGATGGTCGGCTTCTTCCTGTGCTGGGACGACGCGGGCCAGCCGCGGTCGGCGCCCTATCCGCGCGCGCTGCGCCAGTGCTCCAGTGAATTCGGCGTCTTGTCTGAGTTGATCGATGTCTTCCTTTACGATCACATTCACGTCGACGCTGGGGAGCTTTCGGAGTGGCTCCTGGAGCGCGCCGACGGCCGCGAGCGCATTCCGCGCGCGCGCAGGGAATCGCCGTGACGAGCGTTCCGCCCCGGATTCTGCGCGCGTCAACTGGCGCTGCCCCAGCGCTTAGGAAGGCCACGTTCGACTGGTGCTCACGCTCGCCAGCTGCCTGCGCGCGCCGTCGGCGCGCGGGCCCGATGCCGCCGCGCGCGCGCGTGCGACCAAGGGCTGGAGCGCGGCCGACGCACTGGCCCACGCCGAATCCATTCGACGCCATGCCTGCCACAGGGGCCCCGCACTTGCGAGCTCGCGCGCGCAGCGTCGCGATTCCTCCGCCATGTCTGCGCGCGCCTCAGCGAGGACCTGCGCGTCGCCCCCATGGCCGCCACGGCCCGCCCACTCGCCTGCCAAAGTGGGCGGGTCTCTCAGCGCGCGCGCCGGGCGCGTGCAATCCGCCGCCTTGCCTTGAGGGACGTGGACTGAAATTTCAGGCGACTGGCCCCGCAGGGCGACGCCTGCGCCGCGCGCCCGCCGACTCCGCGCTTCTCGCTTTCCGCGCCGAAGCACCGGAGACCCCGCGGAAGATGGGCGCGTGGACTTGTAGAAGGCGCGCGAGCCGCGCGCCGCGCCCTCGAATTACCTCCGCCATTCAATGCTTTAGAATGCAAGCGTGAACGCGCGCGCGCGCGTCGAGCGCCGCTCAACGCACTCTCGCGCGGCGAAGCGACACGCCGATGAAACCCGCGGAAACGCGCGGGGCGCGATGACTTGTGCCCCCATCGGCACAGGGAGCACCAACATCGCAGTCGCGAGAGATGCGGCGAGGAAGGCGACGCGCGGAGACCCAATAACCAAATTACTCGGGCGCTGTAGGCTGCAACGCATGCGCTGCTCCTGGATGCCTGCGACAGCTCGCCCGCCGCGCGCCGCCGCCTGCCCCTTCGGCGCCTAGCGCGAGGGGGGCTGATGGAGAAGGGGGGGGGATCGGCGACGCATCGCCGATGCGCCTGAGCATTCGTTCTCTGGACGCCACGCGCACGCCTCTTGGCGCGTCCCTACGTGGAATCGAGGGATTGAGTGCCGGCCGGCGCGCGCACGGTCTTGGCCCCAGCTTTGTGGGAGCAAGCTTTGGACCGCCTCTCCCCAGACGGAGGTGGGGAAGATCAGGGGAGGGAGGTGCCGTCGACGCTGTCGACGCCCTCGCCGTCGCCGTCGCCGTCGCCGTCGCCGCCGCCGTCGTCGTCGTCGTCGTCGTCGTCGTCGTCGTCTGCGTGTTCGTCGTCGTCGTCGTCGTCGCCGTCGTCGCGGAGGGTGGAGGCAGGCGGGGCGGCGGCAGCCAGACGTCTGAAAAAAAGGCCCCCCCTTCACAGAAGCGTGCGTCACTGTGTCCCGAGGCACCTTGGCCCCCTTCCGCGCAGCACCGTGCGCGGGAGCACCGTCCGCGTGCTGGAGGACGTGCTTGCCCACGAGTGGTTTGCCAGAAGCGCCCCGACGATCACGGGGAGCGGCCCATTCCTTCGACGTCAGCTGCCTCGGGGAGCACCGTCCATTCGACTGGCGGGCGATGGTGCACTCCTTCGGGCCACGGCGAGTGATGTGCAAGCTCTTCCTGTCGCCAGGGAGAAAGGTGGGAAGAAGAGGGTGGGCGAGGGGGCGTGGAGAGGAGCAGGGAAGGGAGACGAGGGAAGATGGAGTTGGAGAAGAGAAGGGTGCCTTTTCTTCGCGCCCAGGTATTCCACGAACCGCGCCTCCTCCGGGGGTGCCGTCTCCGCCCTTGTCCAGTCCGAAAGCTCCTTCGTCGGCTTCGTGCTCGGCGAGGGCCGACGGCTTCCCCTCGACGTGGATCTCGGCCTGCTTATCGCTGACGTATGCCTGGATAGCTCTGCACCAGCTCTGGCACATTGGTTGCGCAATCTGGCTCGTGAGGCCCGTGCAGAAGAGGGGGGCGAGAGAGATGGCCACGCCCCACACGGCCAGCATGAGGGCGACGGCCTGGAAGCGCAACTCTGTCTGCGACTTGAAAAGAATCGACTCCGCCTGGGGAAGTATGAATCTCTTGCACTGGGCCCGCGTGCATCTGCACTGGTACTTGCCGCGGTACTTCTGCAAGTCGGTGACGCCGCCAACCTTGCAGAAAGGGCAGCAGAGAGGTTTGTCCAAGAAGCCGTGCTTGAGCAAGTGAAGGATCAAGCCCTTCTCGCCCATGCCGGCCAAGTCGCCCACCGTGGTCTCAGGGTTGTTCGATAGGACGTCTCGGGTCCACTTCTGCGGTCCCTGCGGCTGCTGGTGCTTCGGCGTGTACGGGGCCGCCTTGGCGGAGGCCTGCTTCGAGACGGACTGCGTGGAGCCTTGCTTTCTGGCGGACTTGGCGGAGCCCTTCTTCACGACAGAGTTGGCGGAGGCCTGCTTCGCGGCGGACTTGCAGGTCTCCTTCGTGGGCCTCCGGTGCAGAGGACCACGTTTCGCTACCATCGCCCGCGCCGGGCGGCCCTTCCGACTCTGATTCCATCGCCGAGCGGCCGCTAAGGAGGAGGAGGAGGAGGACGAGCCCTTGCCCATCCCTGCGGAGAGGGGCAGCAGAGGCGCGCGTTTGGGCCAAAACGGCTGCGGCCGGATATGGACTCAGAGGACAAGAGCGCCAGAGGGGGCTGGGGCAGGGGGTGAGAGGGAGGACAAGGGAGGAATGTCGAAAGCTGCACCCGCGCCCCCGCCGCAGGCCGCTGAAGCGTTCGGAACCAGACGTGCCGCTCGAAGTGGCGCGGTGCACTGAGGGATTCGCTGTTGCCTGCCGCGCCCCCTTCCGCATTTCCGACCCCCGTCCTCCGGCCAGCGCCCACGGGGAACCAGACGAAGGAGGGATTGGAAAAACGAAGGGGGCACAGCAGGCAACGGCGGATCACGCAGAGGAGAAACAGGAAGCAGGCCTACCCAGCCACTCGAGGAACACGCGCTCAGGGAAGTTCTCGCGTTCGCGGGGCTCGGGCGCGCGCCGGTGCTGACAGCGCGGGAAGCCCCCGCAGCCGAGGAACGACCGCCCCTCGCGCGTGACCACGGGCCGCAGCGCCCCCTGGCAGGGCGGGCACCCGACGGGGGGCGAAGAAGTGGAAGGGGAGGAAGGAGAGAGAGGAAAGGAGAGGGAGGAGGGGAAGGAGAGGGAGGAAGGGAGGAAGGAGAGGAAGGAAAGGAGAAAGAGGAGGGGAGGAAGGGGGGGGAGGAGAGGGAGGAGAGGAAGGAGAGGAAGGAAAGGAAAGGGAAGGGAGGAAGGAGAGGAAAGGATGAGGAGGAGCAGCAGCAGCAGGGGGACCGGCCCCTTCGAGTAGGTCTCGGCCCAGTCTTCGGCGCGGCCCTGCGGCGGCGCGGTGGCTGAGGTGGCGGCGGCGCACCGGTCCCAGCGGGCGGTGCCGGAGGAGCTGCCTGCGGCGGTGCGGGAGGAGCTGCCTGCGGCGGGGGGGTGGCTGAGCTGGCGGGCGCAGCGGCCTCCGTGGGCGGTGCCGGAGGAGCTGCCTGCGGCAGCGGCGGAGCAGGCGAAGCAGCGGGCGCCTGCAGCGCTCCGGATGCCCAGCGGCGACGTTTTTTCCTCGGCCGCCCCAGGGCGCCTGACAGGGAAGGGGGGGGGCGTCGTCGTCGTCGTCGTCGCCGTCGTCGTCGTCGTCGTCGTCGTCGCCGTCGTCCCCGTCGTCGTCGTCGCCGTCGTCGCGCTGCTGCTGTCGTCGCCGCCGTCGTCGGTGCGATCGCCTCCCGCGTCGGCGGAAGAGCTGGCCGGAGCGGAAGAAGCGCTGGCAGCAGGGGCAGAAGAGCTGGCTGCGGTGCTGGGTGGACTTCCAAGAGGAGGCGGCGTACGAAACGGAGAACCCTCCTCGACCTCCTCGCAGTCGTCGGAGGAAACCTCCTGAACCTCCTCGTCGCCGCCTTCGTCGGCAGATGAGCACACAAAGTCGCGCAGCTGCTGTGCGGTCCACCACGGACCGACCCAGTACCGAGGCTGTCGGAAACAAGAGCACGAGCACCGTCGGGGAATCCTGGGATGCGGGAGAAAAGCGAGACTGACACCTTGACCCAAAACGGCTTCGGATGAATGAGTACATGATGAGTACACATGATGATGATGATGATGACGGGGGAACGGCCTTGGGGGGGGCTTCTGGGGGGGTCCCGCCAGGGCTCTCCGAAAATGCACGGAAACTATGGGAATTCATATAGTGTGTGATGAATGAAGGAATGAAGGGTTCATGGTGGGTTCAGCGGGCTATATATATTATATGTATATATACATATACGTATATATGTATGTATATATATATGTATATACATATACATATGTATATATATATATATATATATATACCATGCCGACTGAGCGCATTTGTTTGTGCCAAGGATGGCACGGGGTCGACATGTTCCCAGATGCGTGCTTCCACGTGCGTCGGCAGAGCTGCGCTTGCTCTGGGCGCGCCGCGCGCGTGGCCCACCTGCCCCTGGACACGCGCAATGCTATTCCGAACGCCCGCGATCATGCGACATGCCAGCATTAAGTTCGAGCAAAGCGCGCGCCCGAGCGCGAACACAATCATATGCGGTAGCAACAGGGCAATGGCAATACTGCACACTAGCGATATGCGC